GTAAAGCTGTTGGATAAATTGCACAACTTTACTAAAATATGTGTTGCGTTCTCTAGTAAAGATATCGGTTGTCCTTTCGCGTGTCGGTAACTGTTCTTCAATAAGCTTGTCAACACAACATCTCAGTTTATTAGCAAATAAATCTACTCTCTACAACTCGACATCAATCTATTAATTCTCTCTCGGGGCTTTGGCAAAAGCTCCCTTACACTTCTTAAACAAGAATAATAATAAAAACATCTTGGCTTTCCCATACATATGGAGTTAGAATTTGGCCGTTTCACAGAAGCTCACACCCTCGAAGCAGAAAGTGTCTGCTGGCTGTAAACGTATATGGCCTCTCGTAGCTCCTCGAAACAAATAAATAACGCTTATTTCAACTTCGTCTATGAAGCTTAGATGGTATTTTCGATTAATGTTTTAAAATGAGGAATTTAGGTTCTTCAAGGGTAAAACAAATGTTGATAAGTTGGATGCATTTATGATGTGTTTCTGGGGATTCTGGGGATTCGCGAGACGTGAGATTTCCCCACATTGAAAATATGCACACACCATATTTCAGAATAACTAAAACTGTCTTTGCTTATATACTAAATATCTTAGCTGAGCGTCAATTTTATATGTATCTACACGTCGTGATACTGAAGAAGCTGTCACAGGAGCTAACTGGGTGTAGGTCAAACTTAATACAACTTCACCGATAGTGAACTAGGTATTGTTACAATAACATATGTATATAATATGAATGTTGAATACGGGAAAGAAAATGCAGAGTACAGAGTACGGGGCCGATTATAAACTCAGAAAGTGTGTTGAGTGTTCTTTTTTAGCAGGGAGTTTTAATACAGGGCATAATTTGTTTAAATAAAACAAATTACGAGCAAGGAAGACTTAGTAATTACTATCACTAAGTAAACATTGCCTTGAAATAGAAAATTAATTGCGAATCATACATATATTAATTTTACGCAGTATCAATTTAAGTTAATTCTATAAAATAAACAAATAAGTTACGAATCAGTCACATACACACACACACACACATATATAATGATTATAGGTTATTACTCTGAACAAATGATATTTTCGTATATCAAGCAAATAGATAAGTTATAACGTTGCATTATTGGCTCGTACAGCTCACTTTTCCCGCATTAATTGTTCACATGATTTCAATTGTTTTGACAGAAAACTTTTCTTACGGCTGTGAACAGCTGCACTATTTTGTCTAACGTAATCTGTTCACAAGAAGACACAATCTGGCTATTTTTAAAGTGGAGGACAGGATATCATTTAACAGTAAGACTGATAGTGTATTTATACATATATATCATTTCAACAGCTGCGGGAAGGAAAGGCTGTACTGTAAGACTCCCAATTGTTCGAGTATCATCTACAGTGGTTGGTGTGATTGTAATAAATATAAAGTAAATTAACAACGTATAATATACAGAGAAAACATCCTCTAATATTACAAAACAATCCTTATATAATTTTTTTAGCTTTAATTTGAAAAAAAAACAACAACAACAAAAATACTATGCCGTAATTTAAGATTGAAGCTCCATCCTTGGTATTAAGGCGAAAGGCCTCGTCGGCACTGAATATAGAAGATATTGTGTGATTGATATAATGTTATACACTCTTCTTTACTTCATTCAGAAGTTCTTACGATAATAATGTAAAATAATTTTAAATAGAATCACAGATAGCTTAACAACAATGCGATGCTACAAGTACTGGGGTGTCATTCTTTTATTTTTTATCATATTCAATCACTGAAAAAGTAAAGAAAAAAAAACAGCTCACAGTTAACAGAAAATAATATAAGCATTTACTGTCCTATCTACGCCATTTTCTTCACATTTACACTGATGTCAGTATGCAGGTGGTAATAGAGAGTAATATTTAATTTCACATTGAATCATACAGAGTAATTTAATAGCTGCTACACACGAAATGTAACCTCCGCTTGCAAGAAACCTTATTATAAAAATACCACCTTTGGTAAGTATTTATACACCAGCTCTTGGCCTCATTAGTGAAGGAACAACTAACGCTTCTTATATTTGTGTAAGAACACTTTATTACTCAGTAACTCCTATGTAAATACACTCAACTTTCCAGTACTTCCTAGTTTTAGTAGTACGCTTCATTGTATAATAACTTCTATTTATAGAGGCGAATTTCGTGGTATAGTAACCACTTATTGTATCAGTACGTTTCTTTGTAAAAATGCCTTTTAGGTATGGAAATACACTTTACTGTAAAGTATCCTAGTTGCGTTAGCACACTTTATTGTAAAATATATCCTAGCTGTGTTAGCATACTTTATTGTAAAATGTACCATGTTGTGTTAGAATACTTCATTGTAGAGTGTATCCTAGTTGTGTTAGCATACTTTATTATCAAATGTATCCTAGTTGTGTTAGCATACTTTATTGCAAAATGTATAGTAGTTGTGTTAGCATACTTTATTGTGAAATGTATCGTAGTTGTGTTAGCATACTTTATTGTGAAATGTATCGTAGTTGTGTTAGCATACTTTATTGCAAAATGTATCCTAGTTGTGTTAGCGTACTGTATTGTAAAATATATCCTAGTTGTATTAGCGTACTGTATTGTAAAATATATCCTAGTTGTGTTAGCGTACTTTATTATACAGAGGTAATTTTCTCTAAACAAAGTGCTAGTTAGAACCCATTTGGAATACTGCGTACAGTTTTGTTACCATTTTGTAAGAAAGGATACAGACTTATCGGAAAGGGTTCAGAGGAGGGTTATGAAGAAGATTCCAGAAATCGGTTATCCTATACTGATGATTAAGATTAATTAGGGGATCGGTAATATAAAGGCCTCTGATTTCTCTGTACTTAAGATAATAAAACGAGAAGACACGTGGTTATAGCAGGCTAGAGTTAAGACAGCTTTATTTTCCATAAGGGTGATTCGCTTATAGAATGAGATGCTGTCAATAGTTGTAAAGGCCAAAGTTTTACATGAGGTTAAGAGAGAAATCAAAGGTGGGATAAAATTTGTACTTTTCTGAAGTCTTGAATAAACAAATGGTCCCTTGTTGTCCATATGTCATGTTACATAATGTGAAAAAGTTATGAAGTCGTCAATCACAGAAGACTAAATACTGGGAAATATTTATGAATTAATCACTTGGAAACTATACTGTAGGATAACTGAAATTACATTTTTGTTTTTAATATATTTTATGTATTTACATTTTAACATCATAAATATGAAGTTGAACTTAGTTTTAAACACCACTCTTATTAAAACTACACAGTTTGGTAACAAAAATACAGTTTTTCAGATCAATTATTCAATCTCGATGCCTTCTCAGTGGCACAGCGGTATGTCTGGCTAACTTACAACGCTAGAAACCTGGGTTTGATACCCGTGGAAAGGCTAATGCAAAGGCTTTTACAAGACTTTTCCGGCGTATTCCTACTTTTAAAATATCAATAGTCCATTTCTATATGTACATCTAAGAACACTCTTTTCGTATATTCACAAAACCAAAAAGTCCATACACACTTGTAAAGAACTGCATAAAATGTTTCCCAATATACCCTTTTTATGTCAGAAATTTTAAGTACCTGTTCCTTAATTTATTTTACTTAATCCAGTCCATGTGTCATAAAAAAAACTATTTCAGAGTATTTTATCACAATTTTTTTATTTGTTTGCTGTTGAGCTCAAGGCTAAACAACGGGCTATCTTTGCTGTACCTACTACATGGATAAAACATAAAAGTTTAGCGTTATAAGCTCTCAATCTTACCGCTGTGCCACCAGTTATCAGTTAACTGGGAAAATTATTATTAATCCTTTGTGATTTTTTTTTTTCAAATAAACGAAAACTATTGTCTTTTTTGTTTCTACTTTCACTGGGAAAATGAGTATAAAAATGTACCTAAAAACATTACAAATAAGTAAAGCTCATACATACATGAATAAACATAAATATATCTATGGGGGAGGGGGTTAGAATATTTGTTTGTTTGTTTTAGATATTGGCGCAAAATTGTACGAAGACTATTTACACTAGCCGCCCCTAATTTTGAACAAATAGACCTGAAGAAAAGCATGCAGCTAGTTAAGAGCACCCACTGCCATCTCGAAGACTACTTTAATCGAATAGTGAATAGAGAGTATCATTTCCTATACAATTCATTGTACAGTAACTGAGAGATTTGCAAGTAAACTGTTTTATGCAGCTCCTACAAATTATTTATCAATATTGACTTCCGGTCACAGAGAGCTAAATACTTAGATCAAAATTAAAAGTGAATCAGATAACGAGTAGGCCTAATTCAGCATACCCCTCTTACTTATCAAGATTAGAATACATTGTTTCATTAATTAAGTACTCTCGCTTTTAACAACATTTTCGGCCGTAAAACCAAAACTATCTCACGAAGTTCGTCCAGTTTTGGAAATTTCGGTTAGCTCGCAATCCACATAATAAGCTACAAATGGAACACAATGTCTATAATAAAAGTGTGATAGCAAAAAATAATAATAAAACTAAATATATTAAACATTTTAATTAAAATTATATCAAAGAAATAATAGAGTACGGAACACGAAAAGCACGAGCTGTTGGCTTCAAGTACTGTTGTAGATTAATTACAGTAATAAATACATTGTATAACTTCTTGTTGTGTAAGTGAACGTTAGTTTGCGGTGCTAACTCGAAAGGCATTTCTAAGAAACTTAACACTTGTCAGCTTTCTAATAACGTGATAGTCGCAAGAGCCAAACGTTAAAGGTCTTTAATTACGTCACGCATTCTTTTTCTATTGGATTTTTACAAGCATCGAATTTCTTGTATACAAAATTAAAAGTTTTATACTCATAGAAATGCACAAACTTACAAATCTGTGTTGTTGTTTTTCCAAACTGTCGAACAGGTCTTTATTCCTTGCTGACAGTGAAATAGTATTTTTAGTTGTGACGTAAAATGCAGGAAATGACGTCACTCACCTGTTGTGAAGAGAACGATCGCCTTCAGACAGCTGTATTCGGCAGCATCCACATGAAGAGCTTTCAACTTCTCCACCTGCTCTTGGAAGATTCGGATGTGGTCCATGAACGCCACCACGCGGTCCGCTGCCATAGGTGAGGCATGTAGTCCAGCGGCCGCCAATAAAGGCGCCACGTGCAGAGGCATGGAGCACTGGGACGCGTTCAACACAAAGAGTTCACTCCAGACAAGTCTGAGCAAAGCCACTTGGTCAGTTATTTGAAGATCGGGAAAAAATGGTATATTTCTTGCCCACTCTACAGCGCTGAACAACAGGCGAGCCGCTAGTTCACAGATATTATCAATCCCCATGAAGTTATTGGGTTGCATACACTGGGCATAGCGCGTGGGCTGGTAGGGTTCTGCTCTGAGGAGGAGCGATATAAAACTGGACAAATACGAATGACCATTTAAAGTGTCTCCATTGGTTAACGTCATCTGACCAGGGAGGCCATGCTGTGTGGGAGGCAAACGTCCACGCTGTACAGCTGCAAAACAGAAAATCACTTTAAGTATCATAAAAATACACACCATAAAAGCGTATAAAATGAAAATAGCAAAAGCTTGAAAATATAATTATTAAGTATAATAAGCATATGAAAAAATCAACAACAACAAGTGTTTGTATGGAAAAGTAAACAATGGTGTGAAGAGTACTAGTACGTTTTGAATCAACTTAATAACTATATAGAGAGTCATACGGTAGTATTAAAATACATAATAACTATGTACTGCAAACAGTTATTTTGAAAATTGAATATAACCAAAATTATATAAATCAACATAACAGACGCTAAGCACACGAATGAAAACCGTGTAAACCAACATAATAGACATTGATCACATTAATGAGACCAGCATAGATCAACATA